ACAAGTAGTTTTCATCTGGTCTAGATGTTCCATACCTTGACATACATAACAACGTTCGTGGGTATGAGGTTCCTAGAATGATGAACATGTTCTATTTTGAAAGCATATCTTGAGGCAAAACTTGTTGTAGTGTAGATCAATATATTTTTTATCTAGTGTCTATATGATATTTACACAAATAAACCACAGCGCGTAGAATCTAAATGCATGATGAGGACGTGCCTCCACTTCATACCTTTGACCTGAATCGTGTTCTCGCTGTGTTTGGAACCGTTTCTCATTTGGAAACGAAGTTCTGGAACACGACCGTATTCCACGTTCCAGGTTGATAAGAGTCAAAGACACTTCTCACTTGCCTAGTTAAACTCCAAATGACTTGTTTGCTTGAGATTAGACTTAGCACCTGTTTGGATACACATGGCTAATTACTGATTGTGGCTGAAAACCAGTCCAAATTAACCGTGGTTGACTAGTAGTTGGCTAACAACTAGTTAAAAATTTGGCACCACCATGCAGTCCATTCTTTCCAAAACAAACCGGTGCCTACGATCCATGACTCGCCAGGGAAACAACCGCGTGCCTGCGAACTGCAAATCGCCCGGCAAAACACCGTGCAGTCCATTCTTTCCAAAACAAACCGGTGTCCAGAACGTTTCTAAGAAAACCACGTCTAGCCAAAAAAAGGAAACAAACAACTAGGGAAACACACCCTGTAATGCGCTCCAAAAAATAAGCCGGCGCCCAGAATACACGTCTCGTAGAAAAAGGAAGTAAACAATCAACGCCTGGTCTCATGCGATTGCCATTAGCCCAGCATGCGTGGAAATAAAACTGTCGTCGTCGTGACCACTCGACTTAGACGTCGACATCGATCTCCTCCAAGCCGCCACCGCTGCGAAGTCTAGTGCCATCACCGTGGCACCGCTACATCAGCTGCAATCTGCTACCCTAATCCTCCGATGCCCCGTGGCCACTTGACATCAACAGATCGCCCCGTGGCCACTTAATGTCTGCAGCGACCTGCTACTCTAAGCCGCCGACGCCTGTCCGTCGCTGCGGCCACCTGACATCGACGGTAATCAACTTCTCCTTACCTCATCGCCTCCCTCACGATCTGCTTCCTGGTCACACGACGCCTGTCTGGTGTCATCGCCGTGGCCACCTAACATCGATGGTAATATGCTTCTCCTTCCCTCCGCCTCCCTCTTGATCTGCTTCCCGGTCACACGACACCTGTCTGTGTCGTGGCCACCCGACATCAACGGCAATCTGCTTCTCCTACACTCGCCATCTCCCTCATGATCTGCTCCTTGGTCAGACTGTACATAGGGCATGACAAGTCACGGGTAAGTGATGCTCAAAAAATTGCCCTAATCCTATCTATTATAGTCTGTAGTGATTGCAGTTCCAATGCACGATTTAACATTTATATGAACTAATAATAGAACCATGCATTTGACACCAAGAACAGAAAATTGTGTTAATCATGATTTACTTTGGAAAGAATATGGGTTTTATTTTAGAAAAAACTAAGTACCATACTCCTGTTGAAGACCCATTTGACGTCAGCAGCGATATGCTACTCTAAGCTGCCGATGCCAAGTCTGGTGCCGTCACCGTGACCACCTGACATCGATGACAATTTGCTTCTCTTGCCCTTGCGATCTACTTCTCGGAGCCAAATGCTCAATAAATTGCCCTAATCCTGTCAATATAGTATGTAGTGATTGCAGTTCTAATGCACGATTTTGCCTTTATATGAACTGGTTTTACCTTTATATAAACTGCAATTTTTGCCCTAAAAATATGATGTTGCTAGGTTTTGTTTCAGAAAAAAAAATCATATTTGTTCCGTAATACCCTTAAACCTTAATGACATATATTCCAAAGCCTAAGTACCGTACTCCTGTTGAAGTGTCGGGATGGTGACCAAAACAACAATTAAAGTTGCTGCAAAAGCACATGTTAGTGGTGCAACGAAGAAACAATCAGAGCAAAACATCTGACAAAGGAGCACAAACAGAGAAAATGATCAAAGTAAACAGAAGTTATAAATTAACAACCAGGCTTTGCCGCTGAAACAAAAATCTTAAAAAGCCCGCCAACAGAGGAACAAGATGCAGCACTACGCCAATTCCAACAAGAACCGGAACAACATGGAGGATGTACCTGTTACTTCCAGTGAGGAGTGGTTGCCTGCAGCAGATCAAGTCTCCAGGAACGCCATAAGGAAATCCATGTATAGGAAATTAGTAGTGTGAAACCAAAGGTAGCAGTTTCATGTATAGATGCAAACCTATGGAAAAATAGAAAATCATTGTCATGATTAACATATGGTACATATAATGTTCATTTCATAGTATCTTTCAGGTTCAGTTCACAGTAACAAATGGATGCACGAAAATGAAAGCTTAACCATAGATGAACATGAGAGGTCTAAAATTGTTAGTTTAACCATTTTCAAGGTCACGGTTCCAACGAGATCTACATCGGTGACACTTAAAGACTTATTTATAATCTTTCTCCATATATGGGTCCTGTTGAAATTAGTTGCATAAACTCTATTCGTGTACATATAAATATTACCTCAGGCACTCTAAATTCCTTTATGAAACATCTAAGAAATTATGCCTATTAACTGGGAATAAAAAAATTTGCATTCAACAACCAAAGACTTGTGTTGATGAATGAAATTCTGGAACAATATGAGCATATGAAATAGATTGATAGTATATAGCTCAAACAACATATGAAAAAACACCCACAAGCCCATCATATAGCTCACCCGGGTGACAGCTAAATCCTAGAAGTTTCATAAGAAAGATCCTTTATTTTTTTCCAAAATTAGAAGTGCATGAAGTAAAATTAGAAGGTTGGACACTCTAAATATAGGACTAGCAGTACCAAGAGGCCATTATAAATGAATTACCAACAAGCTCTGGCAACACAAGAAATAGATAAAACAAGCACCGTTAGCACGAGAAATAGATAAAACAACGAATTGGGAACAAGCAGGATCGGGATTGCAGGGTACTAACTATCATAATAACTAGAAATAGCATGTAGGAGTACTGACTATCACAAATGAATTAAATAAAACTTTCGGAGTTCAGACTGGCATCATTAACCAAAACTAGCAATGAACAAATTAAACTAAGTAATGGCAGTGCATTCTGACTTGGGAGGAAGGAAAAGCCATACCTCGAAGTGAGGGTGCCGGGTGTGGCGCCGTGGGGATTTGGCGCCATGGCCGCCATGGCAGCTGCAGCACCATGGGGCCCCGCCTCTGCCGAGTTAAGCAGATGCGGGAGGGGATGAGGTCAGGGTGGATTGGCCTTCTTTCCGGCGGCAGCTTGCTCCGCCTGGTTCCACGCCGGCCGCCTCCTGCCCACCAGGCCTTCTACCCAAGGACCCCGTCCGCGCATCATGGCTCGCGGTGACATTTTTTGCAGCTGAGAAAGCGTTGGTCGACCACCGGCGCGAGGGGGGCGCGTGCGAGCACGACGGGGAGGGCGTCGCTGTGTGGGGCCGCATGCTCCTCCATCGAGCAGGTGAGTAGTTTAGACGGCGCAGGCAACGCCGGCGCTGGAAGGGCGGAGAGAAGAGGTTGGCGTGGGGAGGATTGAGTCGGCGGCACTGGTCCCCGCAGTCGTGGGGAAGGGTTGCTCTGGCCAGCCGCGCATGGTCGAGCTCCTTCGACATGGGCGCGTGGTCGAACTTCTCCGACGAGCTGCGTGTGGCTGCTCCGGCCAGTTGCGCGTACTCGAGCTCCTCCGATTTGCTACTGCTCGGGCTCCTCCCATCGTTGGACCAACCATCAATTTCGGCGGCGATATCGTGGTGTGAATGGATGGTCGAGGAGTCGAGTCCAAGGCGAGCGCATGGTGGAGGATTGTGGATAAGGTGCCGTGTGGTGGAGATAAATAAAAGGATTGGGGAGTACAAAATAAAAAAGTAGATACAAATAAGGGGAAAATTAAAGAAAGAAAAGACAAAAATAAAAGAAGTGTATATTATAGACATTTTATTTACCACCGGTGGGGAACGGGATGAGAGAGAGAGAAGGAAAGAAATGAGGAGAGGAGAGAATAAATGAGAAATGAGAAAAGAAAAAAAAGAAACGGAAATAAGAGGGTTATTTCATACACTTTTCTCTCTTCAACGGCACAGAGAAGTCATTTTGCCAAATAGTTCATAAAATCTGATTTAGCTCTCCGAATTAAGGTAATACTTTCCTCCGTTTTCGTTTACTTGTCATCTACCTTTTATTGTAGCAAATTTGATCATCTATTTTTTCTTCTAAAAATCTTAGATACTTCAATGTATATAATATTAATGAAGTATGTTTAATAAAGAATCATATATGTGAAAACTTGATGTATCTAAAAATCTTTTGCAGAAAAAAACATATGGTCAAATTTTGCTACAGTAAAAGTTTGGTGGCAGGTAAACAAAAACGGAGGTAGTAGTATAACACACACTCGTACCTTCGTTAGCATAGTATTATGTTTTCTCGGTATTTACATAGTTTTAAACTAAATAGCAATTAACCTTTATATCTAAATACGCCCTTGAATCGGCGTAGCAAGCATTCTCAGGGTCTGATTTTAAACACGTGAGGTTGAGATTATGCCCCGGTGGGCAAGCTGCTGACAGGCCACAAACAAACAGCCCCGCGTGTACACACGAAGCCTCCTGACGGCCCCTGGTGGAGCCCGGTACCGCAACACGAGTCCTGGCCTCCTGGCCTCCTGCCGTCACTTGCCTTCCCGTACCCCGTGCCTACTTCGGCAACCCGCTGTCCCATGCGCTCACATGGAGACTCCCGCACGAACTCGAACCACCTCTGCCTCGCCACCTCTGCCTCTTCCCCAGTAGCCGCCGCCGCCACCCACTGCGGCAGCCAAACCACGTGAGACCTTCCACGCAGCTCAACCCCACAGCATCCGCTGCCACCGCCACTCACCTCCCCGGCGCTCCCGGCTCCAACTACTGCAAGCATGAGGCAGCCCACCAGCGCGGGCGGCGACGCTGGGTTCGTGCGCGCGGACCAGATCGACCTCAAGAGCCTGGACGAGCAGCTCGAGCGCCACCTCGGACGCCCGGCGGAGCGGGGAGTCGGCCCAGCCTCCGGGACGGGGAGCCGCCGCGGCGAGTCCGCGAGGCTGGGCCCGGAGGAGCTGACGCCACTGCGGCGGTGCCGTGAGGACTGGGAGATCGACCCCGCCAAGCTCGTCATCAAGGGCGTCATCGCGAGCGGCACCTTTGGCACCGTGCACCGTGGCGTCTACGACGGCCAGGACGTCGCCGGTATCGTCCCAGCATCCACACTACTTACTTTTTACACAGCTAACGCTTACGCGTGCAATAGCCATGATGAGCCAATTTTCATTGTCCATGAACTGTTCGACGAAATAGCCACGCTAGTTATCTCTAGCTTCTTCTTCCGTGCGCTAGAATGTGGTTCCAAGTCTGATCGATTCCTACGCAAGTCCTTACGATACTGTGATCCGAGCAGAATTGATCGTTAGATAGCAATGTCATTTGCTATAGGCGGTTGTTCTAGATGGTTTGGCGAGTTGTTTTCGCCTGTCGTGTCATCTGTGCCTTTCCTTGTCAGCAAATTGCTAAAGTTGATACCTCTGCTTTTCTCGGTTCCTTGGTGTATTCCGTGACTTCTGTTGGATAAGTCCCCTTATAGCTTTTTGGTGTGTAACCCCCTCATGTGATCCGAGCCAACCAACAGTTAAAGTTTTTCGTAGGCATGATCCATGTGTTCATCTTATGATGAGCCCCTAGAAGTCAGGAGGCTACAGAATAAAGCTGCCGATTTTTCAGGCAAAAAGTCGCAACATGCGATTGGTGTTGCACTTTTCAGGGGACCAGGGAAATTGGAAAGCATCTGAACCAGGTCAATGTTTCAAAAAAGATAACAAATACACTGAAGTTTGCAGCCAGAAATTTAAATTAACATTTTGGCATTGTCCCGCTAAAGCAAATCACATGACTCATGAAAAAGCAGATGCAATTTGTATGTCCAGAACTTTATCGCCCTTTGCATGCTGCCCTCTCAATATGTTTGTTCACCATCTAATCGATTCATTTATATTCTTAAAGTGTGATTAGAATGTTATATCAAATGTGTCTTACGCATTCATAAGCTCACTGAAGTTGTTGATTGGGTTGCTTTGCAATTATTCGCTACTTTGGCTGTGTGATGATACCAGTTCCCTCACTGTCCTTCATAAAGTACCTCTCAGCTGTCACACTTTACTTCCCTGTGTGTTTCATGATCATGCTAGACCCTTAATAAGTGTCTCGCTGTTCCATTTTAGACACCATGCTTAATAGGATTATAAGTTTGAACCTTTACAGATTGTTGTTTGACATGCACAACAAAGTGCATCCTATTCGTCAAGAATGTGCTACCTTTGGTCCCCATCACACTAACCTACACTTTTGAGATTTAGAATGTGCTTTGTCCATCCTTTGGCAGTCATGCTGTAATTCATAAATTATTACAGATATGGAGTAAAATGCACGTTCAGCATGAGAAACTTTATGTTTGCCATCATAACTTCCATTTTTCGACACTGATTGTCAAATGTTATCATTTTCTAGTAAAATTGCTTGACTGGGGCGAGGATGGTCATAGATCAGAACAAGAAATTGCTGCACTAAGAGCAGCATTTGCACAGGAGGTCGCTGTGTGGCATAAGCTTGACCATCCAAACGTTACTAAGGTGATCATTGCCTGAAGAAGCCCTTTTCCTCCCCCTTCTAATTTCTTAGGCTAAGTACTCTGCTGATATAAGACACTTCTTCAGTTATTGTTTATCTTTGTTTCATAGGACAAAGTCTAGAATTGTTGTCTGATATTATTAATCTCAACCCTATGGTTAAACTTGGTTACTAGCACATGATGTATCTATTTCAACGTACCGAAATATGTGTCCAATCATCCATATGCTGTTGGTCTTCACATTGTTCCCCATGTCTGGGTATCTGACAGCATAGTGAGGGGCATATGCAGCACTAGTGCACTACTGCACTACCATCTCTCTTGATGCTTCAGTGTGTCCTAATTTGTTCCAAAGCATGCACTATATCCCAAAGTTAGTCTTGTAACCACTGGTAATGTACACTAAAACCTTTCTTTTACCATTTGATACATGAAAAAAATTAAGAACAATAGAAATTTGGAGGTTTTATGGCATTGATTTAGTTGCTTATGCTATGTTAATTGATTTCAACGTGATAGCAAATTTACCTAGAAATATGTAGGAGCTTTATTTTCTTTTACATCTTTAAAATTCAATATAGATTATCAACTACTATTATTACCTGTTCTTGTTTCTTGTTGCTGAATATTGATATCTTTTCAAGCGCAACTAGCTATCCTAACAACAACTTGAACTTTTACCTGACAGTTTATTGGGGCTATAATGGGTGCAAGAGATTTAAATATACAAACGGAACATGGACATCTTGGCATGCCAAGTAATATTTGCTGCGTTGTTGTTGAGTACCTTCCCGGAGGTGCACTGAAAAATTTTCTGATAAAGAACAGGAGAAGGAAGCTTGCCTTTAAAGTTGTGGTCCAAATAGCTCTTGACCTTGCCAGGGGGTAAGAAATTGATTGCTTTTCTTTCTTGATCTTTACCTGAAACTTAGTTGTTATTTGTCTTCACTCTTTAGTCTTGGAAGATATAATTATGATATGTGTTGTTTCAATAGATTATGCTATCTCCACTCAAAGAAGATAGTGCATCGTGATGTCAAGACTGAAAATATGCTTCTGGACAAAACGAGAACTGTAAAAATTGCTGATTTTGGTGTTGCTCGAGTTGAGGCTTCAAATCCTAGCGATATGACGGGTGAAACAGGGACACTTGGTTACATGGCTCCTGAGGTATTTGATTTTAACTGTCTGTTCCTAACTCTAAAAATGGACCCTTGGAGAAGTTACCCTTTATATCAATAGGTATTTGCATGGAAACTACTTAGCTATAAGCAGAAACATGCCACATATACACCAAAAGTATCTTAAAGACCACGCAGATTGTGTGGCCTCTAATCTCTTCAGTAGTTTGGTCAACGATAAGCAGGAAACATGCCTGCATCATACACCAAAAGTATCTTAAAGACCACAACAGATTGCTTGGCCTTTAATCTCTTCAGTAGTTTGGTCAACGATTTCGTTATTCTCTTCCCGAAGCTACGTTATCCATTGTTTCGCACCGATGTATCATCTGCAAGGCAGCAGGATTTTCCCATTGATTTGAAATTTGTGTTCCTTTCTCTGCACTTGCATTTTTATTTCCTGTTTCTTGAAAGAGTGTACTTGTGGCTTACATAATTACATTGGCATATGCACGCAGGTTCTCAATGGCCATGCTTACAACAGGAAGTGTGACGTGTACAGCTTTGGGATCTGCCTGTGGGAGATATACTGCTGTGACATGCCGTACCCCGATCTTAGCTTTTCTGAAGTCACCTCTGCCGTCGTTCGCCAGGTGAAAATAAGACATGCCTCTGTCCCGTTCCTTGCTGCCATGTTGTCACTGAAATCCTGAGCTGAAATGAAAATTTTGCACAGAACCTGAGGCCTGAGATACCGCGCTGCTGCCCGAGCTCGCTAGCGAACGTGATGAAGCGATGCTGGGACGCGAACCCGGACAAGCGTCCCGAGATGGCGGAGGTGGTGTCCATGCTGGAGGCGATCGACACGTCCAAGGGTGGCGGCATGATCCCCAAGGACCAGACGCAAGGCTGCCTCTCGTGCTTCCGCCGGTACCGAGGCCCCTAACGCAGGGTTGCTTATACCCGGTGAATGGTCTCTACAGCTCAGTGTAATCTAATCACAGAACTGGGTATAATGGAGAGGCTTCTCATTGTCATGGGTGTAAATGGAGGACTGGGGTGGTTGACGATTGATGTCCTTGTATGCTCGCTTCAAGTTCTAATGCTTGCTGTAAGTTAAGGTCAGGTCAGGTGTAGAGAGAGATGCTGTAGCCGTTTGCTCACATCGTTAATTTCATGGCCGTGACGTGAAGCAGGGTTATGTAATGTTGGATTAACCATCTCTTTACATAATGTTATGAATTATAATTATTAAATAAAACATGAATCATCGTCAGGATATCCGATTTTGGAACGAAGGTAAACTTTTGCTGTTATATTGTGTGCGACATGGCAATTCCCGTAGTCTGTATACGGTACGGACGGTCGGATGATCGCAAGAGGTACTGCGTGCAAGGACGGGCGTCCGATCCTGGATCAGACCTCGCCTCTCGCGCTCCTGCCTACTCGGCCTGGCCGCGTGTTCCCCAGAAGCAGGAGAGGCGCAGAGTAAAACAGGGAGGCCAAGCCGCCGCCGCACACCGCCGTCCGTTGATCTCTGACCTTTCCGATCCAGAGCCTAGCCCTCCGCCGTCTACCGGAGCTCTCCCCGATGGCGGTGAGCTCGCGGTTTCCCTCCCAACCCGCGGCGCGCGTCCTCCTGCGGCGCACCCCGCCGCGCATCCTCCCCGTCGAGCGCACGCCGCGCCGCCTCGCCCTGGTCGTCCCCGCCGTCTGCGGGGGGCCTGGACCGGGCGGATCGCCCGTTCCCAGGCGCCCGCCACCGCCGGCGGACGCCGCCACCGTGGCGCCGACCTCGTCGCCGTCGTCGGCCGCCTCGGCCATCGATTTCCTCACGCTGTGTCATCGCCTCAAGGTACTAGATACGAATCAATTTCCTGTAATGCGTAGGATCAGACCGGCGATGCTCACAACATTTTTTGTAAGAAAATTCTAAAAAAGCGGAGAGAAAGTAAAGGTAGATGTACTGCCCTGTGCACGTGCAATAATTTGGATCGATTCATTCATGCCCCTCATTTCTTTGATGCCTAGGTCCATCATATCACATGATTCTGGTGCTTATTCCTTTTGTTTATTCTGCAGACCACCAAAAGGAAAGGATGGATAAACCATAGCATCAAGGGCCCTGAGTCTATTGCTGATCACATGTACCGAATGGCCTTGATGGCTCTGATTGCTGGTGATCTGCCTGCTGTCGATCGAGAAAGGTCTCAATCCATCTCTTCAAATTATTGTTTTGTCTTTCTCGTTTTGTTATGCTTTAGCCTTTGTCATATCTTAGTTTTCTACTTGGTGTTGACCATCACTTTTTAAACAGGTGTATCAAAATTGCTATTGTGCATGACATTGCTGAAGGTAGGTCATGTGCGTCATGCGATACACAAACTGTTGGTGTGTTGTATGTTCAATGCACTTATCTGATCACGAAAACTACACTTCACCTGCCAATACTTTATTAGCCTAAATGCCTAATTCTTCCGCAAAGGCCACCTTTGGTAAATTACTCAAATCAAATATTCAAAATTCTTTGTTTAACAGCTATTGTTGGTGACATTACCCCATCGGATGGTATACCTAAGGCTGAAAAAAGCCGGCGTGAACAGGCAGCTCTAGATGAAATGTGTGAAGTTCTTGGTGGTGGGCCAATTGGTGGGTGCACATTTTTTATGTTAAATGTCAGATCATGTAGTAACTTCCAACACCAAAAGACTAACTATTTATCTATAATATTTCTGTTTTGCAGCTGATGAGATTAAAGAGCTGTGGGAAGAATATGAAAACAATTCTTCTATTGAAGCCAATCTTGTAAAAGATTTTGATAAAGTATTAAGGCAGTTGTTTTTCTAATGTCCTTTCATTATTGTTATCTGACTCTCTCCACTGTGTGATATTAATTTTCACCATGATTCATGACTGCTAGCTGTAGCAATGTATAAGTTTGCTTTTACTTGCCAGATCCGTCAGATTTACCAACCTTGGTAGATTATGAACTTTTAGAGCAAGTTCGTCACAAGTACTTGCTCTTAGTTTGTTTTGAATCGAATTAGTGATTGATGATTTGCTTGCATGTTTGTATGACGTGACATAATAGATTTCTTGTTCTCCATGGCCTTATTTACCAAGTTGGAACTTGTGTAATTTGTTAGTCTTAATTCCAAAGAATGCTAGTAAAGCTACTTTGAGGTTTCTTCCTCATATGCCATAGTTTTTATTCTTCAAAGCATGCAAATTAGTCTTTTTTGTTACATGATGGATATTTCGTGTATATTTTTTTATGTTTAGCAACACAATTACTTTCATGCATTTTCTTTTGTTTTTTCTTCGTTATTATCATCTGTTTGGCGTGTTGTGTTTTACATTTCGCCTTTTTTCAGGTGGAAATGATTCTTCAAGCATTGGAATATGAGAAAGGTAATAACTTTTTTGTAATGACAAATTTCTGTACATTCAAAACATAAGCCAACTTTCATTGTCCTTAACTATAGTTGGCTATGCCGTATATTCAGTTAAAGTATTCCTGTTGAGTGCTGAATATTGTGAACACTCCAAGGGAGTAAACTGCCTTGTTGATATGAAATGATTTGCTCCTAGTATGAAGTATGGATAATAGATTATCTTGTTTTTTTTTCTGATGTTATTCTTGATAAATTATTATGATTTATGAGGTTATGCAAAACACATGTAAGGACCTGGCTTGTTGAACTAGCGTCACAGCTTAGAATTGTGAGTATTGATTTCATTATAAGGTGTAATATAACCAAACTAATTGCACTTTGTCACCAAACTTTTCACTTCAAAATTGAAAGACTTAACAATAAATGGCTCTTGTCATGTGTTGGCGTTTTACTCATCTTGTAAGACTATCTTAATCCATTTATCCTTCTAACTTGATGCATCTCGAAATTTACAGAACATGGCAAAGTGCTAGATGAGTTCTTTCTCTCCACTTCTGGTAATTTGATCCATCTCTGTTTCCTAACTCACTATGTCCAAAGTAGCGTTCGTTTCCAGCTGTCCCCTTTTCACCAAACATTTGTTTAACATGTGTTTCAGGCAAGTTCCAGACAGAGATCGGTAAGAGCTGGGCTGCTGAAGTAAACGCGAGGAGAAAGGAGGGATGCGGAAAGTAGAAGTAGGAGCCTTCAACAAACTTCCACAGAAACATGTTGTGATGCGAGGGGCGGTGTGGCCAACTAAGGACTGACAAGTTTAAGTGGGCCTGGAGTCGCAATCTCCATAAGCCAACTTCAACGGTGGCAGTTCACCGATTGCCACGGTTTCCTAAGGAATAACGGGAGGGTCATGGAGTGAACACTAGATTTTAGCTGAAAGGTTCGAAGTTGCTCGAAGACCAAGGGGTAGGTAAAACTGTAGTGTTTCGTTGTAGCCTGGGATCCAGCGAGGTATAAGATACTTTTTTTTTGTTTTTGGTTCAACCCCGTGAATAATGAAAGGGCGATGGTGTTTGCCCTTCTCATCTTCCCTGCCCATTTTTATTTTGGGAGAAATCTCTGCCCACAGTTAACTTATTTGAACTTGGCAATTAGTCTATTTTTGTATAGGCCTGCGCTGCGGTATTCTCAATTTCTGATGGGAGGTTTTCAGCTGCCATGCCCAAGGGATTTTGATTTTTAATTTTGGCTTTCTTTTATAAGCTAAAAGTTTAATGATAAAATGGGCATAACTAAAATTCTAATAATCAGCTCTTTTGGTCATGCCAATAAATTTTGCGGGACTGACCAAGGGGAGTCACTCCAGGTAGCTTGGCATTTTGTCCTAAATTATAAGTTGTTTTGATTTTTTTTAGATACATATATATTTTACATGTATCTAGAACCTAGTATATAGATAGCTATGCATCTGGAAAAATCAGAACGATTCATAATTCGGAATGGTGGGAGTGCAATTTTGAGTAATTCCAGTCTGTTTGGAGCGACAAAAAGGCTACTTGAAAATTTGATTTATACATGTGTTATTATTGACGTTTTAGATGAAAAGCTAAAATAAAAAAAAGTATTCTAGGTTCCCTTTGCGTGCTAGCATGTGCAATGTTTGTTTAATGTTGGCGCACCAATGATGTTTGAGCCAGTCTCCAGAACCATTGGTTCCAGTTTACAGTATCAGCAGTCGTGGCTCCGCAAGACCTCGCTTGGCTTCCTTCTCAGACGTTACTCTCCGACGGCTGAGACTGGAGAGCAGTGTCTTGCGGCATGTTGTCGAGAAGGAAGCCGATGAGGTCTTATGGCCTCCGGGGTCCAGAATTGATCTTGCCTAATGCCTAATCGGAGGTAATGGGAATATGGGATCTGTCGCATACTAAGATCATGTTTGGAGGGACTCCTCCGGGCTGTAGCCATGACACTATAGCAGCTGTAACGGAACTGAAAACAATCCTAAATATGCAGCTCCTCTGGCTTCTCTCCATTTCGTAGTTCATTTTGGGCGGACCAAATAGGACTCTGCAGTGTTTTGGGAGCTAGAGCCGAAGCCCCTAAAAGCCACACCAAATGGGCCGTAAGGCCATAGCCAAAGGTTGTCACCATCGGTAACCATATTTTGAGTCCAATTGGCGATTCCTTAGTAAAACAGGAGAATGTTGCTTTATGTACAAAGTGACACTTCGACTATAACTATGCAATAGGTGAAAACCATATAACGCTGGTAGAATAGTTACATCCTTTTGATAACACTGATATGTGGCTCGAAATAGTCAGAAAACCAAAACAGAATTCGGTCACAATAATAACCTACACATCTAACTTCAGTTCATGCCGAACAGGCCAAGATCTCGACTAGTTCTGGTTACAAGAGTTACAGAGTTGCTGATCATACTAACCACTAAGAACTATCATCAGCTCAAAGCCACACAAGGGACTAATAACATCACTCCCAAGCAGCAATTTTCTCAAAGATTCTCTTTGGATCAAATGTGAAATAATACCATAAACATACTTGCATCTCTTTACATGACTAACGGTGCTCATTCAAACTACCTAAACCACCATCTCATGCCAGCATTTATCGGGTCATGAAGAAAAGGGGTGTAATGGTGGATATATGGGTTAATTGTCCGCCCAATTTTAAGCCAGATAGCTCTATGATAAGCGGCAGTGAAGGGAGAATGGTACATGAGCTTCAGCAACTGCACCACCAGGAAAAGAGAATGAGATTAGAATTTAATGAACCATCATATTCTGCAAATATTATAAAGGCTATTGGTACAGTCCTGACGTTCTAAATGTCGTGGATGTAACAGAGTTCAGCCATGCAGAAGCAAAGATTGTTGCCTAGATTCCCTTCTAATTGCTAATGGGCATGGTTATATTAGACAATTTGGCATGGTTATATTTGACCCTTCAAAACATATTTGCAAGTCCACATGCATTACAAAATTTCTCTCTGATAATTGGTTATTCTAATATTTGCCCATCAGCAAGCATTAGCTATGGGGAGGAGATTTGCAACAAGTGAAATATCATATGCTAGAGGTCAAAGGTATGCCATCAAGGGCCAGCCATGTAGAGCATACACACCTAATGTGTGGTGACAAATTAATATATCAGTATATCCAAGACAGCATAGTGATAATCTTCGGGCTAGGTTTCTTGCGCTATTTATAAAACAGGTGGGGATCTCCATTAACTAACCTGCCAATACATGAATGTTTGCATAACATTTCGCTGTCGCCTGCACAGGTAGTTATAGGAATTGGAAGTTAAGTGACTAATAGAAGAGAGGGAGAGGGTGAAAAATAAAGGAAAAGACTAGGATCAACTCACGAGAACAGGGATAGGATCATAAGAAAGCCCAACAAAATCTCTGCATTTGAACGTAGAAAGTGGACTGCAGTTGTGTTTGTCTCAACCCATGTACAAGGCTGCTCCAAGTATGTCCTGCAAATTAACACACTCATATGTGACAACAATTTTACCAACAGATCAAAAGGACAAATATTATTTTCATTCGATAAAAGGGAACAGGTATTTTTTACAAGCCATAAAAAAGTCAAAAACTAATGTTTGTGTCTTATTAGCTCATTATGTCGTGGGCATTCTTTAGATAACCCTGAAGTAATGCCTGATGGACGCACCACGAGACAGGGATAAAGGAGTCTCACATAGGAACCTGCTTAACCAAAGAGATATATAGATGGGGTGGCTTGACTCTTATGAAACCAATCAGTAGAATCAAGGAACTAATTCAATCTCATATTATATCTAAATATCAAATTTAATCCTAGAGCTGGCGTGAACAATAAAATGAGGTTATTGTGAAATGATGCGCAGTTCTCCTGCGCTGTTCGAGAAAAAAAATGAGGTTATTGTTTGTGTGAACAGTGTGCCACCCCAAACATGGCCTGGGGCTGCTCCATCTCATGGCCCCTAATGGGCTGCATATGACACATTAACATCCAAGTCCCAACATATAAAGCATTTATGTTTTGCATTTTACAAGGGACAAGGGGTGTTCAACTATTGCAACTGTCAAGAGAATCAAGTGCATCACCAGTGTACAGAAACTGCTATGTTATGGCTTTGTAGGAGGTAGAAGCTCAGAAAAGATGATAAACCTGGTAACCAAGATAACAATACAAACCATGACTAGATACAGCATGTCTAATCTATTGTTTTTTAATCCTAAAAGTCAATGACTAGGATGAACTACCTAACTCCAGAAATCCATCAAGTAATTTACCTGTACAAAGATGAGTTGGTAAAATGGCGCCGTAGAAATCGAGCGACATGTTCAAGTGCCCAACAAATTACAGGTACCAAAACAACTGCCAGAAAAGAGCATCTCATTATGCACAAGGAAACTCAGATGGTTAGGTAATAATGTGACTGAGCTTCATGTCAAGTGAACAGCTTATGCTTACGCTTCAAGTGCAGTTTAGATGTAGCAAACATAAGGCAGTACATGAATGGTATAAAATCCTTTGATGAAGTTACATGGTGACACCACGCCTGAACAGCCTGCAGGTTCCCTGCTCGGGGTATCTGATAGGAAGGAAATGGTTTATCAGTAGAAAACATTTAAATAGTAAAGGCATCTAAGTTGAGGAGGATGAAATATTAATTTTAAAAATCAATTCCATGTCACATACCCTGTACAAAGCAAACAAAGCATAGCCTGTAGTACATGTTGTGCCAAGAAGTGACAACCTATATCCCTTGTACTGGAGGGAATGTGGTGCCAATGGAAAGATGCCAATCAAGGCAACAATAAGAACCTATTAGGAAAAGGAGAAGAAAATTAATGGTATATGATCCAGATAAGATGGCTATTTAGTAACTACATATTCTAGACAGATCAACACAAAAGGTTATTATTGCTCTTCACTCATATATGGAAGCGACTAGCCGAGAAGCATTCATAAATCAAGCTACCGCATGTTGGAGCACTGATACTGATAAACTGTAGATACTGAGGGTACAGAATTGATAATACATCGATAATACGATAAATCCCAGAGAAGCATGTACGATAGCTTGCTAAGAGTAGACAAGAAAAATTACTAGGCAGAGGTGATGTATATTCAGCCATTAAGTCCATGGTCAAGTCAGAACAGGCACTGAGGAC